CTCCTCTCTCCCGTAGAAAAATATTGAGAAAGAAATAGGGGCACGCCCCCATTCACATAAAGACATTGAGGCGTTAAGCTTGTGTATTGTTCCATTGCTTTCTGATTCAGTTAAGGGTTGTAGCCAGGGCTTTCCCATACTAAAAAGATCTAAGATAGACCATTGATCCAGTGCGCTATTGGAGGAGGAGACCCGGAGTGGGGTGTGCAAAGTCTAGTTGAGGTAATTTTCTGACAATCTTCTTTATGGTTTGCAGTCTTATGTTTTCCTGTTCCCATGAGTATTTTGTGTTTCGTGATCCCAAGGTCAAGTTTATGCAATTTTGTTTTTGTAATAAATAATTGTTAAAGTGGCAGCGAGTGAGAGTCCTTGGGATTCTTTGTGTTTTTATTGTTTCTCATTATGCATTTGGACATTTGTAAGTAATCCAAGTGGTGAAAATAAAGAAAAGAAAGAAAAATTTTAATCGGTATACACTTGCGCAAGTTACATAATCCAACTTTCATCTACTAACAAATTTCCCGTAATAGATGTGATGGAGGATGAAACAACAATTGTGAAGGTTAAACAATTCCCCCATTCACTTTTTCACTCGCCTTTATCTTCACAAGTGGTCCCTACATTGTCAACCGCACCACCAAATTCACATAACAGATCTGGAACTACTATTACAACTCTTCTCTTTAGTTGAACTTGGTCTTAAATTTTGATCTTCAATGTTTGAGGCCTATGGAAGATTCTTTTTTAACCATTGTTGGACCTTTACTTTTGATCCATAGTGCAACATCTCCTCTTTCAAGATCAATACACTAGAGATTTGCTTCACCAAAGCCTATTGAATAGCGAGAAAATATTTTGCTCTACAATGGTGGGCAGAGTTGTACATCCTTGTAAGGATGTGATGAAATGGCGTACACTCCTTTCTCAACCACAAATAAGATCGACATAGCCAAGTATTGCTCGCTAGTTCATTTGGGTCCAACTCCAAGACTTCAACAGATAGTGTTAACTTTAGTATTGTGATATTCGAGCAAGGTATTCTCAAGAAACTATAATATTGTTGTGTTCTTTTGGCTATATAAACTCTCTACGGTGTCCTAAAGTTAGTTCTTTAGGTTAGGAATCTGATTAATCAAATCCTTATGTATCAATCCTTCAATGAAAATAGGGCTTTGCCACATTTAACCTTCCAGTTTGGTCTAGCTTTCATGCCTTCTGGAGTATGGTCTGGCATCACTACAGTCTACCGTGTTACGATTTTGTTGACCACGGATTTGACATGCCACCCTGCCATACCCAGGATTTGCAATCTGTGGATAGTAATTGAGCACAGGAAGAAGGCCACGATGCCCTTGATTATGTGAAAATGGACAAAATCAGCATGTTTTTCCACAACCTCTATTGTCACTATCACATCCATGTCCACAATCAAATGTTGCAGGGTTGCTGGACATTACTACCATGTTATGAGAATCTTGATCCTCAGTGTGTTTCGGTGTAGGCTATGGAAAAGGGATTCATGTTGTAGTAACAATGGGTGCAATGTTAACAAAAGCCAAGGTGGGCATCTAAGCGGCCAAGGGTCTTGGCCGCACAGCCCAAGCAGGTGCCCAGAAACTGTTTTTTTTTTGTTTTTTTTGGGGGAGGGGGGTTTGGCTATTGGCTATGTAATTCAAACATAGACATTTTTTGTTTTTTGCGCTATAGTCTATTTATTTCAAACAACAATATTCCAATCACTTCAAATACATATATGCATAATATTTTTTAACTTTTTAACACAAATTCTTTGTTGTGCAATATGAAACCATATATTGCACTTACATTTAGTCAAATTTCTTATAATGTTTTGTGGGGTTTAGCAAAATTTCTTAATTTTCTTATAATTATCTCCCAATCAACCAAAACATGCAACTAACCCTAATTTGTGAGTGTCCCACACACATTTAGTACCACAGATCATCGAGACTAGTATCGTCAACGATCATTTCAAAATCACGTTTAAAGAATAAAGAAAGCCGTATTTTTGAAATAATTAGTGGAAATCACAACTCAATTCCTCAAATTAACCATTAATTGCTCCCCATTAATCATCAGATTCCATTAGAGCAGCCAAAGATCAATGATAAATCCCAAAACCCATAAGCTCCCTTGATATTAATGAGGTTTATGCTTTATGGGGGGTTTCGGAGGCTAGATTGCCCCCTTAAACCCTCTTTTCCCTTTCTTTCTTTTTTTTTTCTTTTTTTTTTTGGGTTTTTTTTTTTTTTTTGGGGGGCGGTGGGGGTTACCCTTTTTTCCCTTGATCAGTAGCAACCTATTCTTCACATGAAACGTTTGTGAATGAGACTTTGTATTTTCAGTTTCATCAATATCACTTTTGATAAGAAGTTTAGAAGGGGTTTTGAAGAACTACTTAAATGTCCCAGAAGTTTATGACCATGAACAAAAGTGGTTTCAATGATGGATTTCTGTGTTATGAAATTGGATGTTTCAAAGAAGGAGAAATTTTGATTTTTTTTTTTTCAAGAGGAAAATGTGTTGAAAAGCTAGATGTGTGATACCCTAGAGAGAGGAAATTAGGCGAGTGAAGCCTTAAAGAGAGAAAGACTTGGGCGGGGAAGGTATGGGGACTAATCTAATATACCATTTCTCCCCAAGGGATGATTTATTCCTAAGGGAGAATTTGTGGACTAAATCTAATAAATCTAGCCTTCTGAGGGAGGAAATGTAGGGTTTTAAACAAGAAAGTTAGAATAATAGAAGAAAAGGGGTGAGTAGAGAGAAAAAAAGGGTTTAAGAGAAGAGGAGTTACATCAGTTAACTTGATCAAAAAAAAGGAGAAGAGAAGATACATAACCTTGAGTTAGGGTTCATGTGGAGAATAATGGAAGTTGTTTGTTAAGAGCAGTTCAAAGAAAATGGTAGATGCTTGCTCATAGAAGATTGAAGATTATTGGTAGAAAAACCTTGAAGGGCCTTAAAGATGTTGGCAGAAAATCCTTGAAGGGCCTTGAAGATTGATGGCAGAAAATCCTTGAAGGGCCTTGAAGATGATTGGCAGAAAATCCTTGAAGGGCCTTGAAGAACTAGGGTTTTCGAACTAGCTCTCATACCATAATAGAAAAGCTTGACAAGGAGAGAAAGAGAACAAGCGAGAAAAGAGTGCATGCAATTCCTCCTTGAGATCTTACTTGGGGATGTGTGCCTCTCTCATTAAGTTATTTTATTATATTTGCATTATGCCCTTGACAATGATGAATATAAAAACATTGTACAAACCAAATATAAAATGACTACAACGTACATTATATATTAAGTACATATTCTTAACACCGACATGGATCACACATACCAACAAAATTGACATTGATTTGCTGTAATGAAATTCCATATTAGTCCAAAGTTTCTTAGGAAACACCGAACATGTCCTCCCTCTTAATACATTTTAACTTATAACAAATATGTTCTACACTTTAAAACATTTTGACTTAATTCTCAACAATTTTATGTGTTTCATACTAATGATTATTATGCATATTCTGACCAGGTTTCCAAGGCTTAATTGTTCTACACAAGTACATGTGTAGGAATACTGGCCCACAACACATCAATGATCACCCCTAATGTAGAGGAGGCTCAATGATTGGTATCTTATAGCCAGCATCCCTAAGGAATGGTGGTTAATAATCATATTGCACTCAAGTCCAATTGCAAACCTTGGGACTACGAGCCACATTGATGCTGACCTTGTGCCTTGTCATCAATGGGCAATGGTCGCTCTAATGCACATGTTTGGGTGGATGTCCGGTGACAAGTCAAGGGTTTAAGGCCCTCTCCTCATTAGCCTTCTCCTTATCAAGCAAGTAGGAGTACTAGCCTGCACGCACTCAAACATTTGAAGCCAAAGGCAACATTAGTTGGTGATATGGCTTGAATAGGCAATGCCTGTAACGTTTACTATCAGCACAGAATGAGGCTCAGCTCTTTCAACTCATAGGGTTTCATGAACACATTATCCGAGCATGTGGCCCATGAAAATTTTCCCATCATCTTGTCAAGCCCCTTAGTCCAAATGAGATTTTTAAGCGGATTAATGTCTCCTCATTGGCACCCCCAAAATTGGTGAATGTCCTCTCCCCACATCCACACAGTTGGCTATGCGTATAAACATCTTTTAGCAATACATCATTGAGTACATAAGTTGAGGGTAAGGCCATGTAAGCCACACTAATCCCAATAACTCCCTCTTGGCCTAAAGGCTACACTGTATGGCCAAATACATGTCAAACAAAAACAAATGGAAAACAAAGTCTAAAGTCCAAGCACCAGTCATAAGACCTTACATCACAAGGGTACGAGCCTAAAATATGCACATAGGCACACAAAAGATTTGACAGAACACCCCCACAAGGAAGTCTACTAATTCCCTTACTAGGAATATATTCAACAATAACAGTCTTGGCTTTGATCAAACCCAAATTAATGATATTGTCATTCAGTATGTTTATACTTCTTGTGAAACATGGGATTCTTTGGAAAATATTGCAGATTGGTTGTCAAAAAAAATGGCCATAATCCCACTACCAAATCCACTCACGTGCAACCCTCTAATGCACTCTCTTAGCTGCAAGCCCTCTTTCACTGTCTTCAAGCAATATCCTCTACCTAAAAATCCTTACAGCACATGATATACCCTAGTTTTGCTAAGGTCTGAGCCTTACTAATTTCCTTTGCTCATTCAGCTGAATAAATTGTTTGTACTCTTTAAACATCAAATAAGTAGAATTTGTTCACAAAAGGAAATGCAAGTATCCATACGAAGAAAATGCCATGACCTATCAAGGAATACATGAACATCTCATATTTCTTTTGTTGATTACATTAGATTTTTGTACGTTTTCTCTCAACATGATACTTGCATTGAAGAAATATTACCTAGAAATAATATAATTGTTCATATCTTTTTCCTATTAAGAAGAGTGGGTCCAAATGCATACCGTACGCATACCACCAGTCGCCATCTTCTATTCCAGCAGTGGATAGGATTTCAACAATCGATATACCTCCCTGCCAATTATTATAACCCCCATGAATCCATACCTCTTTGGAATGAGCAACCGGACGAGAGGCACAGTTGTAATATAATCTAACCTTGTCCCCACCTTTGAACTCAAAAGGTTCCATAGACCACAAATTATCAACAGACAGAACAGCCTTATGCTTTATATGGTTTATCTTTTCTCTCCTCTTCTCCACCTCAATCTTTGCTTGTGCTTTATCTTCATCATTAGCAGCCTTCTCTTCCTCTAGTCGGCGTTGCTCAGCTGCTTTCCTTTCCTTCGCAGCTTGCTCTGCTGCAAGTTTCTCAAGCTCCCTTCTCCTCTCCTCAAGTAAAAAATCCTCAAAAGCAAAGGTGTCCATGCCACCTTCAACTGGTACTTCAAAATCCTTGGAGTTATTATTCTCATATATATCTCTCCCATTTAAGAACACAAAATCCATCTTGTATGCTTCCTTTGGAATGTGAACTCGGCAAGACCACCAATCCCCTGGAAAATCCATTTTGCTCAGCTCCTTGGTAAAAGATTTCCATCTCCAATCATTAAATGCTCCCATTATATAAAGGTTTGATTCATTTCCCAAAGAGGTCATGCTTCTGTCCAGAAAGACTTCAATATCTTGATTTGATTTTGCCACTTTAGGGTATGTAAACACTTTATTTCCATTTAAGCGGTTCTCGTCTGCAAGATCAGCAAGCAGCCGCTTGTGTGCCATTTCCTGAGCCCTCAAATTTGTTTCTTCAGATGCCCCTCCCATGCCTGGCTTCTCATCCCCTCCCTTATCTCCTCGACCTATAATTTGTTCACTGTCAAGCTTTGTATCAACCTGTTTCCCTCTACTTCCAATCTCACCACCTATTTCCTCCACGTCCTCAACGTCTTTAGAATTGGTAACAAGCCTTGTTTTCTCTCCATCCATCACCACAGATTCAGTCCCCAAGGTTTCACTGCCATTTTCTTTGATTTCATGTGTCCTCTTGTTGTGACCAAGATAGGAATTGCTCTCACAAGAAGCTTGCACCATCTCCTCTAGACTGTCGACATTTTCACTTGAATTTGAAATATCAGGGTCCTCTTCTTCTTCCTTGACGATTTGAACCTTCTTTTGACCACTTGTTTTGGCCTGTGACAATGGCATAGGACCCCGGTAGAACCCCTTAGAGGCAGGATGGGTTGGACCCTTGGACTTAGATGTTGGGCTCTTTCTCTGTCGCCTCCTGGAATAATCTACAAGGTGCAAAAGAATTGGGGAGTGTGAAAATTGTCGAACTGAAAGCAAAGGCATATACTACAGAACAGATTAAACAAAAAGAGTCAGATATTAAGTTATAATTTTTCTATTTGCAAGTAGACAGCATATTATATTTACCCAAAACATAGTAGACAGCATATTATTGTTATACCCGTGCAGCTCATTATTGTTATACCCATTCAGCACATTGATTAAATAGTGACAGTATAATATGGGCACATTCAAATTATCCATGCATAAAGAATGCATTCATACATGTCACTGACCTGCACGTATTAGAATGCAGAAAGGTATCCTGTAGTATGTGGGTTCTTTGCGCCAAGGTGACAGCTGTAGCAAAATCCAAATAACAAGAGGGAAATGATAAAATTATTAGTGAATGATGATTAATGTTCAGGATAAGATATTCAGACCCAGAAACCATCCAGAAACTAATCAAAGAGTCATAGGCAATCTAATAATGAACTTCAAACAAGTTAGGGGCCTTGATAGACCGCTCTCTTTGTAACCAAGAAAGAAACAACAGATTCATCGAGCACTGAAAATCCACAATGGAATATGAAGTTTTCTGAATATAGTTTTTCAAAATATTGACTCCATTCAAAAAACTGAAACAAAATTAAGCAATGCAGTTTGGAAGGCTGCCACTGCTTCGCTTATATGGGTTATTTGGATAGAGAGGAATAATAGGATATTCCAGGGAAGCTATCAACAGTTGCCTGCACTTCTCCACAAGGTTAAGACTTTGGTAACTTTTTGGGCAACCAATCACAAAGTCATTGTGGGCACACCCACAAACATTTTTGTAAGCCATTGGGATAACATCCTTTTTCACCAACCAAGGAAAACTCAAAAAACCAACAACTGGCAACCACCCCCGAGAGGAACCATCAAACTTAATTTTGATGGTTCCTCAAGGGGCAACGCAGGGCGAGCAGGGGCCAGGGGAGTATTCCAAGATCATGAGAGGAATATTTTGCTCACATACCCCTTGGCCATACAGTCACAACATGCTGAAGCGATGGCACTGTTGATAGGGCTCAAGCGCTTTAATCCCTCTTGAGGATCCCACTTGATAGCTGAAGGGGGCGCATACAACATTATATCTTGGGAATTTGGAAAGTCTAAACCACCCTGGTATATAGCTTCGATCTTTGATGAGATTGAATTCATTTGCAGGGATATCCACGTCTCTTGGAGGCATACCTTCTGGACGTCCAACGCGTTCGCAGATCTCATGGCCAATGACGGAGCCGATCTTACAAACAGTCTTGGACCTCCTCAAAGTTAGCTGCAGGGTCTCTCTCTCTTTTCTAGCTCACCACTGGTATTTATGTTGTAAATAGGGTGTTATATAAACCCTCTCACCATTTTTGCTAAGCCAACCCATTGTTGTCACAGGACTGGACTGGTTTTTTCTTTCATGTAAAGGGATTACCTTGCCCGTCAGGGTTCTGGTAGCTCCCAATTTTTTGTAAGGGACGCTCCCAATACTTGTATTTACTTCATTCATTCTTCAATGAAACAGTTAACTTTATCAAAAATAAATAAAAAATTTAAGCAATGCAGTTGTGTTTGAACTTTGTTGGTATAAGGCTCAGAAGATGATGATTTGTGTTTGAACTTTGACAAGATGTTTAAGAACCCGTTCAACGAAATGGCAACGTTCCTGACTCATCAATCTCAAATGATCTGGAATTGTAAATATATGAGGAAGGAAAGCAAGCCATAATCCGCTAGACTATGGTCCATGGTAAAAGCTCTGGGATGCAATCCATATTAAGAAAGTGACCTATTGTATTCTAAGTTTCTAACCAAGGATTCTGTAACTAATCAGTGTGACTGCTTTGTACTTGAAAAAGTCCAATGAACCAGTCTTACAACACCAATTAATTAAAGAAAAGGGCAAAAGAAAAACCAATCACCAAGTGATCTATATGGAAATTTCATATCTAATTGCTGCATTAGTCACTGTTCTTAGAAAAGAAGCAGAAATTTGAATTTCAGAATACTTTATTTACACTTGAAAAGCATCAATCCGAAGCAGCACAAGTAATGGGCATCAGCACTGTCAAAAACTTGATTGGTAAATCATATATATTTCATGAAATATCAATAAAAAAAAGGAAGAAAGTAACCAGAAACCGAGTTCCAAAAAATATTACAGCTTGCAAAGAAAAAAGAAATTGATCCCTGAATTTTTCATCCCAAACTCAAAATATTGCAATTGAAGATGGAGTAGACGATCACAAGAATACCTAGGATACAAGAACACTACTGATAAGTCTGAATATAATTTTTTTTTACAGAGTATCAACGTGAAAAATAGGGTTTGAAAAGGAGGTACATGCAATGGTTGATGATGCCCATAAGTAGGACAAACTTTGAGCTTCAGAAGTTTCCCTTCCGAGAAAGGTTCTCTGCAACTCCATGGCCGTGGGGGTCGCAGACATATCTCCATTGATGATCTTCTCTCTCTACTGCCAATCTCTCTTCGCTCTTCGCTCTTCTCTCACACTCCACTGCGGAGGGATGAGAATTGAATCACGAACGGAGCTTTGCATTCGATGACAAGCAAAAAAAGATGCAGTTCGCCTATTTTATGCTCTCACGGGAGTATACTGTACATTTAAATGCGTAAACGTACAATTTTAATTGGAATTCCTCGAATACTAATACCACCAATTATCCAAGCGAGCATTAACCTTTCCCCAAGAGCCTTACGTTGTCAGGCTATAGAATAATGCCACGTGTACTAGCGTATCTCAACGGATGGACCCAGATCTCAACGTTCAACTTGGAAAATGGAACACCTAGGACGAAGCAAGCTATATATATATATATATATGCTTCCCCATGGAGTCGTTCAATTGAGTGTCTGCGATGGTTTGATTTAAATTCGACACTTCAAATTATTTTATTTTTAGGTTTTTTTATCAATTATATGAACATGAAACTTCGTACGTACAATCAGTTTAATGGGGTTTATTGAAAAAAAACATTAATAATAATTTTTTGATAAAATATAATGATCAAAATACATTTTTTAAAACTATCGAAAGTATTTTGATTGTTTTATTTTGTAGATAATATTTTTTATAGGTGTAACTTGAAGAGAAAGGTGGATGTTCAAATTTTAGCGTTAAAATAGTTTGTAAAAAAAAATAAAAAAAAATAAAAAAAGAGTACAGGGACGTGAGATTGTGATTGGGATCATCTCAACCATCCATTCCGAATGGATGGTTGGAGAGGGGGAACTTTATAGGGAAGCATCAAAAATGTTACCTTTATCTTTTCTTTTTGTTTTTCTTCTTCTTCTTTTTTTTGAGATTTATGGTCGTGATTTTTTTTGAGATTTATGGTCGTGATGATTAAGATTATCAATTTATGAAATTTTAAGTCCAATATATATACTTGAGGTGGGCTTTCTAATAAGACCGAATTTGACTAGGTGTGTTGCCTTATGCACTATAACTCCATCAAAATATTTAAGCAATAACTTTTTTAAGCAATAAGTTTAAATGAGGTATCTCCTTCCAAACATTTATCGTAGAGATGGTTTTAGAACATGAAGCACATCCCAAGTTGCGCTAAATGCATTTATGTTTTACATCCATGATTTTGCAACACAAAAATTGGTTGTCATTTGATAATCGGCTAAGAACTAAAGAGGACAACCCAAAAATAAAGTTTTAAAAGACCTAAGGTTCAAAATCTGTTGTCCTTTGATCATGTTGCTTGTAAAACTTTAGATCCAAAATTCAGCCGTAAATGTAATTCTAAAAGAAGACGCATTCGAATTGAAAAAACCTCGTCATTTGAAAGCATATAGGTTTCCTTTTGGGATGAGATTTTGTGCATCGGGCGATAACCTATTCAATTGTAATCTCCTTGCAGAAATCCACATTAGATATGGATATTGGATATAAAATTTCACAGGTCCAACCAAAAAAACCTAAAAAATAGAGGGCTTAAAATTGAATTAAGCGAAATTATCAGAAATATATCTTAATTTTTTGCTGTTTAGAAATAAAAAAAAAACCTATACTTCCCTAAACTCCGTCTGTACCTTTTTTTTTTTTATACTTTTTTTTAAATAACATTCACCGTAGTCGTATGACCATGAAAGTATTATATACTAAAATGCCATTCAAACTTAAGACTTATTCTTCTTTATCATTAGGAACTTCGGTTATGACTTAGTCTTCCTTACATTAAGAATTTCTGTTATTATTTTCTTGTATATATTATGTACACAAACTATTATTGAAGTGTATAATACGAAACAATTCTTCTATTATTGATTTCATTAACATAGTATCATAGCCTAAACGTCCATGGGTTTTCTCTCGCTAGATATGGTATCATTTTGTTGGGCTTTCTCTCTCTAGATATAGTACCATTTCATTTGACCAATAAAACTTTCCCCCAAACCATTGTTTCAGCAGATACTACTTGCCTACCGAGCTTTCTTGGAGGACTTTGATAGATTTCTTCTTTAAAGGCTTTGACTTTGCTGAGGTTGATGAAGCTACACCTTCAAGTTCATCTCTGCTATCAGGGGACTTTTTAGTTCCTGCTAGGGGCAGTGTTCTTGCAACCAATTGCACAATGCTCGGCAAGGCACCAACTTTGGTGGCATAGCCAATATACCAGTTGATTCTTCTCTTGCTCTCAACAAGTTTCTTCTTTTCACAGTGAGTGGGTTGTGTTTTTCTTACCACTATTTTTTTTTACTCTCTCGTTTTGCTTAGGCTCTTTCCACTTCATCCCAAACAGCAAGCCTTCCAACTTATTTTTTTTTTTAGAGAGATAGGGACCCCATAGCAACCTAAAAGATTCCTGTGTTGTTGCATTCCCTTTCATTCTCCTTCTTTCTCTCTCTAGATTGCTCTTTGCCCCTTAATCCCCCCTGTTTCTCCATGTTGATAAGCAAGATGGTGATCCGTCATTGCTCCGCGGTTCCAATAGCGGTGTTTGGTCCTTAGTCCCCCCAGTTTCTTCCACTCGTTGCCAAGATGGCTCTTCTTTGATGATTTTTGAGCCTGCGCCCAGCTCCCATACTATGCGTCTTCCCCATCTTGTAATGAGTTTTGATCAATCTCTTTATCTCTCTATCTAAAGATCCAAACTTTTGTCTTCTCTCTCTCAGTTGCTGTCTTTTCTCTCTCTCCCTCAACCTTTAAGAGGTATCCACTCGCCTGGTCATCTACATTCTGCTAACTTCTACTTTGTTGTTGTTCCTTGCTCCACCCCAGAGTAGGACAACACCACTCCAACGAATGGGTCACCACCAACTGACAGTATCTCTCCTATCACAAGCACATCATCTTACTTTTACTTGCATCCATCTGACAATCCAGGTAACATTATCGTCTCACAACCTAGTGACAACTTTGGCACTTGGAAACTTGCAATAAAACCTAGTGACAACTTTGGCACTTGGAAACTTGCAATGAAAGTGGCTCTTAGACTCAAAAATAAATTTTGTTTCGTTGACAGTACCCATCCCAAACCGTCTAGTCCATAATATGAAGTTAGAGCATGGGATAGATGCAATCTCATGGTTATGTCATGGTTGTACAATGGTCTTGTAAGAGACCTTGCCAACAGTGTGGTCTATGCAGAGACTGAACGTGATCTTTGGTTGGACCTTGAGGACAGCTTTTCTGAAGGAAATGGACCACGGATTTATGAAATCAAGCGTTCAATTGCTACATTACAGCAAAAACGTCTAATTGTAGCTACATATTTTTCCTCTCTCAAAGTCTTATAGGATGAGCTAAGCTCATATTCCAAAGTATCCAACTGCACCTATGGTTCTTTCAAGGAGCTACAAGAACACCAGCAAACTGAAAAACTATATCAGTTTCTCATGGGCCTAAATGAAGGCCTACTCTCTTGTTTTTCAAGAAGAAAAACACAAAAGCTTATAGATAAGCCAGTCAACTCTTTTAGACACAACTACTTTTGTTGTCAACAGATCTAATAGTGGATAGATTCAAGGCAAAGGGCCTACTCGATCAAAAGGGAGGCCTTACTGTGATCACTGTAAAAAGTTAGGTCACACCAGAGATACTTGTTACGAGATTCATGGTTGTCCCGACAGTCATCCAAAACATTTTTCCAATGGGCAATATAACCGTCAACAAAGAGGAAAAAATCACGCTCACAACGTGAGTTCTCACCCTGTTACCAACTCTTTCCAAAAGGCTTCACAACATGGAGGAACACCATCTCTTCCACCTCTCACCACGAGCCAATATCAACAACTTCTTTCCATGCTCAACCTTGATTCTCATACTGTAAAATTTGCAGGTATAAACTCTTGTCTTTCTATCTCTCAACAATGTCATACTTCATGGGTCATAGATTCAAGTGCATCTCATCATTTCACACCTCACTTGTCATCTTTAATGTCGCCCCCTACTGACCATCAAAATAAACCGGTTTGTTTACCAAATGGCAGTAGCACAGAAGTTACACATGTTGGTAAGAGTATTATATCCCCTTCTATTATACTTGAAGATATTATTCGTGTACCCAATTTCTCCTTTAATATGCCATTTGTTAGTAAAATTACTAACTCTCTTAATTGTGCCATTACTTTCTTTCCCACCTTATGTGCTTTTCAGGACTTGACCACGAAGAGGCAATTGGAGTGGCGGAAATGCGTTATAGATTGTATCATTTTTCCAACCAAACTGTCGTTGCTGTTGTGACTCAATCATCCACTGCTTCTTTAGAAATCTGACATCAAAGACTCAGTCACTCTTCTCAAAATAGGTTGTCCAATTTCAAATTGAACAATGTTAGTTCTCCTACATATTCTATCCCTTTCTGTGATGTTTGCACTATTGCAAAACAGTCTCGTTTTCCTTTTTATTCTAGTTCAAATAAAAGTGAT